AGCACACTCCTGTGGAAAAGATATTTGAATTTTCATGAGCAGTTCCGATGTGGGGCTTTAGGAACTGTTCTTCCCATGTGTACGGGGATTTTGTAGTAAATAGATGACACCAACTTTCTTAGCTGGCTTTGGAGAAGCTGAATTCCCTGTTTCAGCCTATGATGCCCAGGCTCTGATATGATTCAGCTGAGTGGTGGAAGGCAGCAGTCCGAAAGGGAGTTGAGTGAGTGGGTTTGGTTATGAGAATAGAATGGGTGGGACTTCCTATCATGTGAAGACCACCTCAGATCAGGAAGCATCCTTCTGCTGTTGATCTTCCAGAGAACGGAGCTTTGGATCTTTGCTCCAGTGTGCATAGAGGTCGAGGCATCCAATAGAGAAGGTGAGTCTCCATTCAGTAATTGTTTGTCAGGATTTGTTTCTTTTCAGGCAATGTGTGGGATACATGATGATTCCTCCCTTGAGATACTTACATCACATCTTGATCTGGGCTCCTCATCCCTAACCACTGTCCTGTCCTCAGCCTGTACCTCAGATTCCCCCTTAAGAATTCTAAATGGAATCAATTGCTCTTTCTCAATGGAGATTTTATTGTGCTCTTGATGGTGTTGATGCTTAGAGCCCTCACAAACAAATCCTCATTCCCCAAGAACATTGCACATTTTCTTGGGTGACTTCTTACCCTAATTTGCATGGATTGCCATACAGGTATCTATGCCCACCGAGGTGGCTCCTCTTCTGTACTCATCTTGAAAAGCCTCCTAGTCAAATGGACTTCAGGTGGAACCATAGGAACAGGGGAAATGACTCACTGGAAAGTGAATGACCACACCCTCTTCCCTAATGCATAGGAAATATTTCTCCTTGTAGGGGAAAGTGTTTTGCTCTGAGTGGATGTGCTGATTCTAGGAGGGAGGAGGATAGAAGTTGTGCATAGCTGAAGTCTGTGAAAGAGTGCCAAGAAAGATTTGGGGGAGAACTATGGCAGATTCTTCCCCCAGGGTGTGTGCAGGCCTTTTCAACCTGCCACTGTGGTAATACTGCATTCCTTTGGTAGTTTTTTGTTGAAATCATTAAGATGAGGGGCTGTGTGTCAAACATAGGGATTCCATTCGCTTCAGCTTCAGATCCGTGCATGTATCACATCTGACTCTTTTTTTCTCCTTCTTACCTTCAGGGTCTAGATGGCCCGAGTTTTACCAGTATGTAGGTAGTTGTCCATGTAAATTCAGCCAAAGGCCTTTTTGATCAGGAGAAAGCTGGCAAGTGTTTTTTACAAGAGCTCTGGTGGGCTGTGACTTGACACACTCTATTTGAGGCCTTTTGCTACTTTATATTTTGTAAATCTACTCATCAGCGAATGAGAATGCATCCTGTTTCCACATATGCTAAAAAGATAAGTATTCACATATCACTTTAATACAAAAATTTAAAGGTGGGCAGAATTTAGCCAGAAGCATAGCTGTCAAAATGCAATTTGCATGTTTATTGTTTTGAGGAATGTCTCTTCACAATTTATTAGATGCTATACCACAATGATCTTCACACCCACAATTTTGGAAGGAGCATTCTCATATTTGCAACATGAAAGAACTGAGAGTACTGGAGGATTATTTGAATAATTATCAAAATAATGGCATTACTTGGATTTTGAATACCTCCATAAGGTTAACAATTTTGCAAATGTTGAATGTGTATAGTAAGCGCAGAACTTAGGCACACTGAAACCGCAAATATTCAGATACAAATGGACCTTGCATTAATTATGAACATTCTCAGATCCAAACTGCAGAAGTAGCTGGTGAGCCTGTCAGATATTGTCACAGTTGTGCTTGTGTGTTTACTGAACAGTGCAATACTTTCATACATTTTTATAATCTTGATACATTAGAGAATGATTCTGATACAGCAGAGAATGTCATTCGTGGCATAGTATCAGCACTCCTATATTTCAAATGTTGGAATATTTCAAATATTCAATTTTCAGGTTGTAGATACTCAACATCTGTGTATCTTTGGAGAAATACTGTGAGACAGGAGAAATTTGAACATAGCCTAATTTGTATAGTTTTGTTTTTTTCAATATCAGGGATCAAACTCAGGACCCTGCACTTGCCAGGCAGGTGCAGTGCCATTGAGCTACATCCCCAGCCCTGTATAGTTTCTTTTTAATGTTTTTATTCACATACTGACTATTGAGGAACACTATTTTTATTGTGACTGCGAATTGCCTTACATGTCTACTGAATTTTTGTATTCATCTTCAATTGGCTATCATCCCAGATTCTTTCTAAAGTATAGAAATAGAAATATAACAATGAATTATTCCATTACACAAAAATTGAAATTACAGTTACATTTAAGTGTGACCATGTATGGAAGAGTCATCAAAATGTTTCCATATTCCACTTAAAGAAACTGCATTGATAAGCAATAACCAATACTCTCCGATTGCATAAATGAAAAAAGAAAATCATCCTTACCTATAGAAGAAGCCACATTCCTAAAGGTTTCCCACATCACATCTCTTTAGAACTTATTTTGAGATGGATCCAGGGAAGCCCACTTCTCCATAGTGAAGTTCACAGCCACATCCACAGGTCAGTGCCTCCTAAATCAGCAGACATAAATATCCAGGAAAATGATCAAGACTTGTGTGAAAAATCTCAAATCTATTCATAAGAAGCTGAAATGAGACAGAGTCCTGAAAATATTTACTTCATCTCTTGGTCATCAAACATAAATCTCACACAGGAATTTGATGCTAGATTAGAATTATTTGCTAAAGCAAGAGCAGAATGGCACAACTGTTTCTCCTACTGGTTAACCTGTTTTCTACCTCTACTGTTTCTACAGCATGGTTTTTAGAGGGAGCCTCGGTGATCAGCATCCAAGTAAAAACTCAAGTAGGAAAATATCTAATGAATTCTTCTGACAGATCATAGAAAATATGTCTTTTCTGAACTTTCTATTTACAAAATCGATCCCTTACTTCTCAGATTGTATTTAGATAGAATTTTGAAACTTGAACCTGGTTGCAAAGCAAAACCTTAAATGAACACTAAGGAAAATTAATGAATATTTTAAGTTGTTAAAATTATTAGTTTTATTAAAGAATGTCTAAGAACAAATTAGATCAAGGAAGATACATGATCTTACAGCTCAAGGACAAAAACTGGTCACGTGTCACAGATGTAAGATATTCATAAGGTGCTATAAGGGAAATAGAGGATTGGATGTGATCAGAATATATATGTAATGAAAAACAATATTTCTAAACTAACAAGCACTAATAGTAAGAGGAAAAATTGTAGACAAATTTTTGTCATGTCCAAATCTCACCTTTGATTTGGCAAAAATAATTATAACTGTTCAGTATTACAAATGTTTTACAATGTTCAGTAGCCAGTAAAGAAGACACATTGCTTAAAATACAGGAAAGAGATTCAAACTCTTAGCGTGAGTGAAGCACAAGACAATCTTTGATGGACTCATATGTAAGCAGACTATTGACTCATGATTCAGCTCTTACTGTACAAAATGGAAGAAATAAGTGTTTAACATAGGAGGCAGGGACAAGCAGGTACATACACTGAAACATGTACTTTGTTCTTCATATTTCATGTATAATAAAGTTACAGTTTAGAATGCTAAAGATATACTTTGAGAATTCAAATACCTTTGGGATGTGAAAAAAATTGTTTCTCCAGAAGAAAATCATGAAGTCCTCAAAATTATAGGGAGAAATTTAAATCTATATGAATCAAGGGAGGTAAGAGAGACAAGAAATATATATATATATATATATATATATGTATATATATTTGCACTGTATACAATAAAAATAATTTGTGTAGTGGATAAAAACCAATGACATGTAAGAAAAATAAACAAAATATATATGTAATTCAACAGAAAACATTAAATATAAACAAGATCCATGACCTTGGATGAGGATATAGCCAAAGAAAATTGAATAATGTTGTCTACTAAGAAGTAGACTTAAGAAAGAATAAGTGATCAAATAACACACTCTATGGCCATATCCTATACTTGGGGGAACACCAAAATCTACAGACCAGTGATTTTATTTCAATGTTCAGAAAATATGTTGCAATCTTGTTTCTGAAGACAAATGTGATTTTTTTTTTTTTTGGTACTGTGGATCAAACAAATGTGATGCTTTAAAAAATAAACACATCTATAAAAAATAAACTTGAAAAAGCTTCAAATATGTAATCACTGTAATGGATGAGGAATGGTTTGGCCTCAGACATGAGCACATGTGAACTACAGTGAGACAAAGAATCTGCATAAAATCCATTTCTGTGTAATTTCTGTATTACTCACTTATTGAACATTCCAATAGTTTAAAACTGAAAGAATACTGCACAATGACAATGACACATGGTAAACAGGAAAAATACCAACAGTGTGGTAATCCAAGGGGAAGATAAGGGTAAGTCCAATAGGATTTCACCTCGTTACTCTTAACCACTGTTCAAGGCCCAGTTATAAGTTTGAGTGTTCCCAGGATATTTTTTTTTATTATTGTCTCACCAAACTTTTTTGAAAATAAATTTATTGAAAAATATGTAAACACTAAATTACCATATGGAAAGCTACTGTGGATTTATGTGTGTTTGCCACATTCTAATAGAAATAAGAGAACATTTTCAGTTTGAGCAAGGTAAACAAAACAGCAGTTGCAATCACAAGGCCTCCAGATATCCAACAAGCAGTGGTCCAACTGCTGGGCATCAGGAGGAGTGTAGACTAGAAACTCAGAGAAAGAAAATACAGACATACAAGCTAATGAATAACCTATTTATTATGTAAAATTCTATGCTATTCTTGAGAACAGTGATTTACATTTGTGACAAGGCAAAGAAAACCACATAATATGCAAATGAATATTAATCTTATAACTGATATATCTACTCAGGTAGATTACAACAGAACTCTTAACCACGTACCAAATATCTTGACAGAGTTAAAAAAAAAAATGCCTGGCTGGAGGTTATTGAAGTTAAGGTAGGTTTACATTTTTCATATTGTTTACAAAGAAAGGATTTCTCTTCATTGTGTCCTTTCAGGTCAATGCAAGTCACTTTATATATTCAAAGTTTACTTCCTCTAGGTTTTTTAATATCTATGATCATTCCTAGCATAATTGCTTTTCCACATTGCTTACATACACATTTATATCCTAAATAACTCATGTATTTCACAATACCAGGGTGTACTGAAAGTTTTTCCTGTGCGTGCTGAAAGGTATTCCATATTGCTTATATAGAGTTTCTCCCTACTGTGTTCTTTTATGGCTTTCACAATTGCTGTTTGCTGAAAGCTAGCCCACATTACTTACATACATAGGATTTCTGCCCAATGTGAGTTTTTTCATGTATTCGACAATATCTCTGTGTTGTGAAACCTTTCCCACACTGCTTACATACATATGGTTTTACCCTACTGTGAGTTCTTTCATGTTTTTTACAACTACTGCATGTGCTGAAAGCTTTCCCACATTGTTTACATACATAGGGTTTCACCCCAGTGTGAATTCTTTCATGAACTTGACAATTACTCTGTGTGCTGAAAGCTTTCCCACATTGCTTACATACATAGGGTCTCTCCCCAGTGTGAGTTCTTTCATGTATTCGACAATGACTATGTGTGCTGAAAGCTTTCCCACATTGTTCACATTCATAGGGTTTCTCTCCAATGTGAGTTCTTTCATGTATGTGACAATGACTGTGTCTGCTGAAACTTTTCCCACATTGCTTACATATATAGGGTTTCTCTCCAGTATGAGTTCTTTCATGTATTTGACAAGCACTGTGCCTGCTGAAACATTTCCCACATTGCTTACATACATAGGGTTTCTCCCCAGTGTGAATTCGTTCATGTGTTTGACAATTACTATGTCTACTGAATGCTTTCCCACATTGCTTACATACAAAGGGTTTCTCCCCGGTGTGAATTCTTTCATGCCTTTGACAATCGCTGTGTGTCCTGAAAGCTTTTCCACATTGCTTACATACATAGAGCTTCTCCTCATTGTGAGTTCTTTCATGTTTTTGCCAATCACTGTGTGTGCTGAAAGCTTTCCCACATTGCTTACATTCATAGGATGTCTCCCCAATATGAGTTTGTTCATGTATTTGACACTGACTATATCTGCTGAAACCTTTCCCACATTGCTTACATACATAGAGCTTTACCCCAGTATGAGTTCTTTCATGTATTCTACAAGCACCATGTCTGCTGAAACCTTTCCCACATTGCTTGCATACATAGGGTTTCTCCCCAGTGTGAGTTCGTTCATGTACTTGACAATTACTGCGCCTGCTGAATGCTTTCCCACATTGCTTACATACATAGGGTTTCTCCCCAGTGTGAATTCTTTCGTGTATTTGACAATTACTCTGTGTGCTGAAAGCTTTCCCACATTGCTTACATTCATAGGGTTTTTCTCCAGTGTGAGTTCGTTCATGTCTTTGACAATCACTCTGTGTTCTGAAAGCTTTCCCACATTGCTGACATTCATAGGGTTTCTCCTCAGTGTGAGTTCTTTCATGTCTTTGACAAACACTGTGTTTGCTGAAAGCTTTCCCACATTGCTTACATTCATAGGGTTTCTCCCCAGTGTGAATTTGTTCATGTATTTGACAATTACTCTGTCTGCTAAATGCTTTTCCACAATGCCTACATACATAAGGCTTCTCCCCAGTGTGAATTTTTTCATGTATTCGACAATTACTGTATGTACTGAAAGCTTTCCCACACTGCTTACATTCATAGGGTTTCTCCCCAGTGTGAGTTCGTTCATGTCTTTGACAATCACTGTGTGTCTTGAAAGCTTTCCCACATTGCTTACATTCATAGGGTTTCTCCCAAGTATGAGTCCTTTCATGTCTTTGAAAATCACTGTGTGTGCTAAAAGCTTTTCCATGTTGCTTAAATACATATGGTTTCTCCCCAATGTGAGTTCTTTGATGATTACCAAAGGAAGTGTTATTAGTAAAGGATTTCCCACAGTGTTTACATACATACAGTTTTTTGTCAGTGTGAGCTCTTTCATGTATCTGAATAAAATGGTGAGAAGTAAAACCTTTTCCACATTCTGAACATATGTAAGTATTCACTTCACTGTGATTTCTTTCCCAGATTTGAACATAGTTGGCTATATTGAGGGCTTTCACATCGTGCTCATATACAAAAGGCTTCTCTTTAGTGTTAGTTCCTTCAATGCAGTCAGAGTACAATTTTCCATGTTGCTTATATTCATAGAATTTCTCTCCAGGATTTGCCTTTGCAAGCTTCTGAGAGGACTGCAAGTCAGTGCAGGTTACCCCATATCTGTTACAGCTAGACAACTTCTCTTCATATCCCTGATACTCATGTAATTTGAGTTCAGTGTTTGCTTTAATGTGTACATTTGCTGATGAATGACCAATCAGGGGCTTTCTAGAGCTAAGGTTTTCAGCTGGTTTGGTACCAACTGATTTTGTGTTCACATTATCATCTGTAGTCCAGAAAATCATTTCTCCATGTTGATTCCATAATTGATATTCATAGCATTTTGCTACCTCTTCACTGCTGTAAAGAATTAAAATAAGAAAACAACAAATCACATTTAAAAGTATCCTTTTGGGCCGGGGATTTAGCTCAGTGGTTCTGCTGCCTGCCTTGAAAGCACAAGGTCCTGAGTTTGATAACCGTACCAAAAAAAAAAAAAAAAAAAAAAAAAAAAAAAAAAATCCTTTTATAAATGGTGTACTGCAAGGAGACCTGGTTTGGTGCCCCTGCAAAGAATATTTACTGTACACTCTGGATCATGGCTTGGAAACAACTTTTACCAAGAGTAATATTCATATGGTAGTTTATAATTGACATGTTTGTAATACATAACACTTTCACTTTGAGGAATGTGGACATAAGCATACCACATTTTGATTATATTTCATACCCTTTCTTCACTGGCCCTATGCCCTCCCCCTTCCACTGAGTCTCTTCACACACTCCCAAATATCTGCCTCTCTCTTTTCTTCTATCTCTCCTTTATTTTACTCCTTAATTCATATTTTGGGTTTCTCATACTAAACATAATACATGATATTGAAATTTCTGTGTCTTAATTGTATAATTAACATTATTGATTCCAGATCCATTCTTTTTTTGGCAATTGGCATAATTTCTTTCTTCCTTATATATACACACTACAATTTTTTCAGTGCTGAAGATTTACCCCAGGCTTTTAGGAGTGAGCTACATCCCCAACATTTTTTATTTTGTATTTTAAAATAGTCTCGTTAATCATTAAGTTGTCTGAGATAAGCATGAATATATGATCTTCCCGCCTCAGCTTTCTAGAGTGCTATAATTCTAAACAAGAACCATCATTCCCAGGCTATCCCATATTTCCTTGATCAACTCATCTGTGAATGGGCATCTAGGCTGTTTCTCCAGTTTAGTTTTTGTAAGTTGTGCTGCTAAAAACAAGGGTATGCATGCATTACTGTAATATGATTACTTTACTTTTGGAGGGAATACACTCAGATATACTCAGTAAAGTTATGATTGGATAAAATGAAATTTCTTTTTTTTTGAGGAATCTCTATATACATTTCTACACTTGATCTTAGCCAAAAGACCAGGAAGCGATCTCTCTATATACATTTATATAGATGGTATAGTACAAATGACATTCCAACAAGCATTGTGGAATGGTGCCTTCTAATATTTTGTTACATGAATGGACTTAATGCTTTGGAGGATTGCTTGAAAATAACTATTATCAAAACTGGCATTCATTTAGATTTTGAAAATGTTCACAAGGACAGCAATTTTGCAAATTCTGAATGTATATAGCACATTTAAATACATACAACATTCTTTACACAATGTGGTCTTTTGAAAATATATTATATATACTTAGATATCCTGAATTTGGCTCTCAATCTAAACACAAAATTTGTTCTATATATGCCTATAGTCAATGCCTAAATGCAATTTCATGCAAAAATAATAATCTTGAGGATGGGAAATAATTTCTTCATTCTATTAGATTATGTCACTTGTGTCATAATGTCAGAACTGCCTACATTTCAAATATTGTACTATTTGAAGAATTCAACTATCATATAATAGGTACTCAACATGTATGCATCTTTAGAGAAATATTGTGAAAAAAAGAAATTGGAACATAGCTTAATTTGTATAGTTTGCTTGGTTCTCATATTTTTGACTCTTACGGAACATTCTTCTTGTGAGTGTAAATTACCTTAAATTTCTCCTGAAGTTTTTGTACTCATCTTCAATTTTCTCATCATCCCAGCTTTTCCCTAAAGTGTAGAAAGAGAAATGTAATGATGAGTTACTACACTACATTACATACAAAGTCAAGAGATTCCAGTTAGATTCCTTGTATGATAAGACCATACCTGGAAGAATCAAGTTTTTACATATTCTAATAAAGCAAACTGTACTGCTTAATAACCAATGCTCTTTGATTACATGAGAAAATATTTTCCTTACCTATAGCAGCCACATTCCTAAAGGTTTCAAACATCACATCCCTGTAGAGCTTCTTTTGGGACAGATCCAGCAAAGCCCACTCTTCCATAGTGAAGGTCACAGCTACATCCTCAAAGGATACTGCCTCCTACATCATCAGACACAGATATCCAGGAAGAAGAGTTAGACACACAACAAGAAATGTTTCAACTCTACTTATAAAAAGCTGAAACGAGGCTGGATCCTCCAAATGTTTACTTCAAGTCTTAGTCATCAAACACTTATTGTCCTTTCATGTATGTATCTCCTACAGGAATTCTGATGCTAGATTAGAATTCATTGCTAAATCAACAGCAGAATGAGAACACCAGTTCTTCTGTCAGTTAACTTCAGCTTTATTTGAATGCTGTCTCTAAAGCATGGTTTATACAGGGAGTCTACAAGATCAGCATCCAAGTAAAAAAACTAAGGTAGAAGAATATCTGAGGCATTGCTCTCACATATCATAGAATACATTTTTTTCTCAAGTTATTTCTAATTTAATTGATCCCTTCCTCCTCTGAGTATATTTAGACAGAGAAATGGGGGAATACTATGATCAAAATATAAGTTATATATAGTGAACACTAAATTGCAAACTGAACTTGCAGTAATAAAAAAAGGAAAAATCGAAGAAAAAATTTTGACACTTCCAAATCACACTTTTGATTTGTCAAAGAAAATTATAATTGTTCAGTGTAACAAATGTTTAACAATGTTCAATAACTAGTAAACAATAAGGTAACCTTGATCCTTTAATATACAGGAAAAAGACTCAAAATTTAGTAAAGTACTGTTCTTTGAGTAAAAAAGACAAGTAGATCACATAAAAGGAACAGAATCTTCAAAGGGCTCACACATGGAAGTAGAATATTGATTGATGAAGAACTCTTACTGTACACAGTGGCAGAAATCAACTCTTTAATTAAGAAGGCAGGGGTAAACAGGTATATACACTGAAACATGCATTTTCATTCCTGCCCAGTACTAGTGGGCTATGAGTGGCACCTGCTTACTTTCCATAATTCAGCTATATTGTTTTATATCAGGAGTCAGACCAAAGCCCTACATGGGCTTTTCAGATGTTGGACAGGGTTAAGATGGCCACTCACCCAATGTCTCCCACTGAGGCCTAAGCCTTGGCAGGGCTCTTCTGAGTTACATGCAACTGAGGTCAGCATGACCCCAAATAAAATCCTTTCCCCTCAATTATGGCTTTTCACTGACCTGATGGGTTGCTTGCTCATTGCACCTGGTTCCCCGGTACATGTTTGTTCTATCCAAGCAAGATAAGCAGTGCTTACTGCCTTACATCCCTGCCTAGCACCATCATGCCAGCTGTTGGGCAGTATTTCACTCGATGCTTTCAAAGCATACCCAGCTCCCTATTCATTCCCATGGCTGTATTCAATAAATATTGGATATGCTTGAGGGTCTTTGTTGCCCAGAGTAGCACCAATCAGGTCCCAAGACCCAGTTTCACTCTAAGTCAAATTTCCTGTCTTTAGTCTTTTGTCTTGTGCTGTAGTGGCTCATAGAAAGCCAGGACTCGAGAACCACGCCTGCTCCCGACCCAGCCGCCATTGCTCAAGAGCTGGGAGGTAGGCTGGGCCCCATCCACCGCGGGAAGGAGAACCACGCCTGCTCCCGACCCAGCCGCCATGGCTTCAGTGCCAGGTAGGTAGCCATATAAGCCTCTCCCCCCGACCCACTCTCAGACCTCGTGACTGTGCCAGTCTTTGGACCCACTCTGCAGAGACAGAGGTAGTCATCAAGGGTATTTTTCTGAGTTCCCAACTTTGAACATCTTTAAACAAAGGGCATAGGAAACCTGTAATAGAATGTTGTGGAGTTCAACCATTCAGAAGGTTGAGGAACTCAATCGGGGCCTTGCAGCCCGAGGTCACTCAGCATCATGGGGTTCAGCCATCAGCTAACTGAGATCAGGGGTCTTGCATCCTCACTCTGTCTGAGCCATTAAATGGTAAATACACTATATTGAAATTTTGTTCACTGCAGTCATATTCTGGACTGCTTCTTGATTTCAAGTTAATTCAAATGATTTAAGGGTGATAGACTAGTGACTACCACAGGTGGTCAGTGTCCAAGCAGTGCTTGATCTTAATGTGTTGCTGATTGTATCAGTTGGAATAAAGCATTGCAGTTGATTTGATGAGCTGTCTTCTCTGATGTTAGGAAGATGAGAATGTCTGTGGGTAGTTAGAGATACAGAAGCTAGGGCACAACTATATCAGGAAGATTTGGGTGATAATCCAGAGATTAAACCAAGGAAAAGCAAGACAAGGACAGACTTCCAGTTTACCAATGGCAAACAGTAGGGCAAATGAGGATGAAAAGGCTGATAGTGAACCACCAGGACACCCTGAACTCAAAGCACAGGAAGTAACAAAACAGATCAATCAGGCTCTAGAAAAAAACAAAACAGAAATAATTTCCCAGATAACCATAGAGATAGTGAGCAAAATGGAAGTCATGATTTGAGACTCCAGAGCAGAAACTGACAAAAAAATAGATGAGCTCAGGACCATGATAGAAGCCATGAAGGCCCAGCATAAGAAAGAAATGGAAAAAATAAACGCCCAACATAGGAAAGAAATGGAATCCATAAAACAGATTCAAACAGATATCCAGGAGATTAAACACTATTGAAAGTGTACACAGCAGAATAAAAGAATGCGAAGATAGACTCTCAGATATAGAAGATAAGATTGCAGTCAGTGACCATGAAAAGAGAGGTCTCTTAAAAACAGTAAGAGATCATGAGAAATCTATTGAACAACTCCTAGATGATGCAAAGAAGAATAACATAAGACTGATAGTAATACATGAAGTAGCAGGAGAAAACACAAATGACTTTAAAAAGCTGTTCAAACAATTAATGACAGAAAACTTCCCAAACAGAGGGGAAGATTTTGACATTCAGATAACTGAGGCATGTAGGACCCCAACTAGCTACAATCAAAAAAAAAAT